CACCATTTCTGTCAGCACCCCCACCACCGTTATCATCACCACCCTCATATTACTATTGATCGATCACTCCATGCCTGGCATGTGGTAATTCTTCACGTGGCTTTTTCTGTGTGTTTTACAGCAGAGGAAAATATTGAAAACCATTGAGCTTCACCATTCAAGGTGCATACTTAAAACCTTTTACTCAAAACTCTACCATGCATAACTCCACCACCTACCTTGAAAAGGGGGACAGGAATGGTAATAATATTTACTGACAGCATCTTGCATCAAGCAGGGGACTGGGCACTTTACACATGTAACCTTACTTCTCACAGCAAACCTAAAATGTAGACAGTATAGTTACTTTAATCCCAATTGTACAACAAAGGAAACCTCAGCCAAGGATGCTTATATGTCATCCCAGTGACTACAGAGATGCTCAATTATGGCTTCAGGATTTGAATCAGGCCCGTATGTCTCTTGAGAAATACTTCTGGGATAGCCTTACCAAAACGGTATATTTTCTCCCATGATATAAGCTCTTTCCATGATCTATTTAATAGAAGGCAGGAACTTTCAAAAAAGTGCTAGCTTGCAAATCAGAAATCAGAAATCTGATGTCCTAGTTCTGGTTTTACAACTCACATGTTGTAAGACATTGACAATAGTTTTACGTATTAAAATGAAGTTTCCAGCTCTAATCTTCTATGTTCTGTGAGTACTCTAGAAATAGACAACAGACACGCATCATCAGTTGTATGATGTCAATTCTAATGACAGGCTCGTTCTCCACACTTAAAAGAGAACACCATGGAGGGAGGCCCATTGCACAGGTGCACGTGTTGACCGGACCATCAGAGAAGGGTGGTTTCGAAGGTTGGCTGAGAAGTGTGAGAAAGTCATCCACCTTGCAGCTGTCCCTGCCTGAACAGTACCAAGTCCCTCTCTGGAGATCTCTGCTGGCACCTTGTCTTCATTCCTCTATGAAAAAAAACTCACATCCTTGTGAAGAATGTATTGCCTTCTGCATACAACTGCCAAAAACCCAACTGTAGGCAAAATCCATCTGACAAAATCCCTTAACTGCTTTGATTCAGTTCTTAAAGGAGATTAGTTGTTGGAAGGTCACAGAGAAGCCATCCTACTGCACATTGCAGCTTGGGGTTTCAAAGCTTTCACTACTAAGGGAATCTCCGTGCTCAATGCCCCTTCTCTCCATGCCGTTTAATCAATGAATCAACAAATAGTTACTGAGCGAGGCTTCCCTGGGGTCTGCAGGTCACTTCAGATGTGGCTCTCCAGTTCAATAGCAGGAGAAAGCAAAAACGGATTTTTCCGACTTCTCTTAAAGTTTCCATTTTTAAAACCCAGGCTGGCATCAAAAGGCTGTGAGTCTCCTGTCCCTCTTTTTCTTTTCCCGGAACACTCGGATTCACAAAGGAAAAGAAACGTAGTAGTGCTGAGAGAATATAGAATACCTGGATGGAAGGACAGGGGGAAGGATGGAAAGTAGGCAGGGAGGGAGGTCAAAGGGTGGAGCGAACATGTAGACAAAACGACGGAGAAACGCTTCTTTGGTAGCGTACAACTCCATGCTTATTAGTCCGTTAGTGCTTCTCTTTAGTATATCTAATCTTCAAGGCCAAATAGTCCCAGTTCCAAGCTTTTAGGATTGATATAATTATGAATGTCTTATACATTTAAGGGTCCTTCTACCCCCAATTCTAGTAACAGGCTCTTACATAAAATGTGCATATAATCTCAATATCCACAGCATCAGGAATCCAAAGTGCAAAAAAAAAATTAGTGTTCCTACATGATTTGCATGAAAATGAAAGACATGTAGTAAGATATTATTTTTGACTTTCAATAAAAATGTAAAATAAAATACTATACTATGATACAAAGTGAATCACAGTCTCCCAAGTGATGACAAGCTACTGCAGGGAGCGACTGTCACTGGGACAGGACAAAACAATGGTGTTGAACATTACCCTCTCAGCTCCACAGACAGCGGAATTCTACCTAACCATATTGTTCTTCAACCAAAAATAATAATGGAACCAGCAGTTTCGTGAACATCTACTATGCCAGACATGGCATTAAAAACTTTGGACCTTACCTCATGTGACTGCTTCAACTACTCCGTTGGTATACATTACTATCCTCAATCTACAGATGCGGCTGTGGAAGGTGGGAGCGCTGAAATCACCGTGTGTAAATCTTAAAGACCAGTATAATTAGGTGAAGAGACATCAACCATAACATCTAACTTTAAAGACTGCGCCCCTAACCACTCTCTAGCCAACATTTTTAGTTCTATCCTTCAGCTTGGAGAAAGTGGAAAAGTAAAAAGTGAAAAGTAAAAAGTGTGTGTGTGTGTATTCTAATTTTTTTTTACCCAAAATCTCATTTGAGCTCAGTATTCCCACATCTGCTTCAAATTGCCCCTCTCCCCACCCCCAATATTAATTACTGGCGTTTCATTTCTTTTTGATAAGCATGGCTGATATTAGAGTAGTAAACAAGCCATGAGTCCACAACATTCACCGCTATATTCTGAAAAATATTTCCATTCAAGCACGCACTAAGGCTTCCCAACATCTTAAGATTAGGCAGTGAGAGAAAGAGAAGGGCGGGGGAGAAAGAGACACAGGGCGCTTGAGTATAAGTATAAGCACTATGTTAACACTTGGCACGTACAGGTCTAAACAAAGTTTTTGAGACAAAATCTTGAATGCAGATAGAGGAAGTTCATCTTACTGATCTTCTAAATGATAAGCCCCATGCCTTCTCATGTGCTGTTTGGAGCTATCATAGTGAAGGTATTAATGGAAAAAATATGCATTTGAAATCCTATTATTCAAGATGACATCTAGACATGTACATTTATGCATCTATTGAGAAGAATCTCTATATTAAAAGGAGGGAAAATATAAACATACCATTCTCTGTTTCTGAGGTGATAGGATTATTTATACCATCCGTGTGGAAGGTGTAGCCCGAGGAACCAATCCCAGTATATACTACCTTAAGACACAGACACCTAGGCAGAGTCCTTTGCTTAAAGTGCTGCTGCTGTCTGACCCTGTGACTTGGGACATCTCCACTTCTGCATATGGTGGATTGACCAGGTCCGCCTCGCAAATCTGGAGAAAGACACAGCTGTGCTCCTAAGTCTTCCCTCTCCCTCCCCAGCTCTAACTACTAGAATTTCCTCTCCCTGCCTTTCAACAGCACAGCTAATAGCAGTACACCACACCAACCATGAGGCTAGCATGCAACACAGGTACAATTTGCTCCTTTCTCTTGGCTGAAGGCAAATTTATGAACATAATCATTTTCACAAACAGAAACCATTTCTACCAGAGCAATGCAAATATGCTTGTCAAACCTGGTTCTGAAAGAACCCAGAAAAGGTGTAGGTGGATGAAACCCTGAGGTTAGGCTCGGCACCTCTCCCAGCATCTGCATGCACTTATTATTGCCATATTGCAGAAGTTGTTTCTAAAGCAAATTGCAGGCTTCAGGAAGACCGAGTTTACAAATGAATCCCGAGACTTGGGGAGGCAGAGAAAAGGCAGTCGTAGCATTTAAAAGCTAAGGAACGAAATGACCTATTCCACTTGTGTCAAAGCCTCAGAACTTCTAGTACGCAATTAGCATGCCCTTCCACAAACGAAGCCCTGAAATCCAGACTTCCTTTTTGTTCCTAAAATAAAGGTACTTACCAGTGAAAATCCACAAGTCACCACACTTTGCCCAGAATCACATTAGCCTCCCTTCTCCATGGAAGCGTGGAGTGGGACCTGCCAAGTTTGTGGGGACACCTACTTGGGTTGGTTGGAACTAGTAAAGGGGGAGGCGGGGGTTGGGGGGGAGAAAAGACACTTTCCCTTTAAAACTGAACAGAAGCGGATACCACATCACATGACCTTTTACCGTAATTTCTATTAAAATCATTTCATGTCTGGTTGCCTCTGCTCTCCTGGCTCATTTGTATTGTTTACAACAAGTCGTTGCACTGGCAGTTAGTGGTGGCTGAAGCCATGGTTACCCGTTTTTACATTCACTAGTTAAATGGAATGCAGTTCTGCTGTGGGTTTCAGGGAGCAAGCTCTTAAGAAACCACAATCCAGCTATCAATCAGACTAATCTGGGCGAAATTAATCTTACAAACATCAGTATTGTTGCATATTAAAAATGGATAGAAACGGGGCACAGGCTTTTAGGGGGTAGGAGTGACAAAAGTGGCCAGGCTGAGATCTGACTTAGACCCTCAGAGGGTGCAGTCCGTGGTCCACACATCTGACAGCCATTCACCGGGTGCGTTTAAAAAGCTTTCAAGGGTAAGACGACCACCCTTGAAAACAAATCCACCACCTTCCCAAATCTGTGAGCATTCATTTCACCTGGATGTTCTCAGAATCTAAACAGTGCCGAAATACAGGTTTAACCAGACTGCAACCTCAGGAAAGTAACTTAAACAGATACATTCAAGACAGCAAAACACCAAACAGACAGCACTGAGTAGGATTCAATTAAGACAAAACCTCAGTGGAACGCTTTTTACAAGTAAATTAAAACTACAAACTAATATGTTTCATTGAGAGCAAGAATAGTACAAATTCATTCTATTGTCTGTGAATTGATGTGGTTAATTCTCTAAAAAGCATTCCCCAAAGCTAACTTGTTTCTCATGATGGACATGCCCAACAATTATAATTCCTAACAAAAATTTAAAAGTTTTATAGTTTAATGCCCACCATAATTGTCCCCCAAGTCACATCTAAATGCTAGATGAGAACAGCAAATAGTTAAAGCTAATATATTACAACCCCATCTACTGCAAAGTCACTGTATCAGAAGCTAGAATTGATTTGTTTCCTCAGAACGAATTGAAAATGAATGTAACATAACGTCGGAAAAAATGCCTCCTGCCCTGCTAATCGGATATTGTATAATGGTTGAATGCAGCTCTGCCCTATGCCATTGCTGCCTAAATCATACATACTTACACGTTCTGGGTTCTTCCAAGAGTTTGGTGCAGTTTCAAGGACAAATGTCTTAAAGGAAGCCTCTCTAGTGTGCAGCAGGGAGCCTAGCTCGGATCTGATGACAAGAGCACAGTGCTAAAGCTGACAACAGAGCAGGAAACTTCCTGTGTGAAGAGGAGATCTTGGAAAGTCTCAGGGTTAAAAAGGCTGCTTGAAATGTGCTGGTTGATTTGCTCCCTGGTTGTGTCTACACAGTAGCAGCTGATCTGTGTTTGCAGCCTGCAGAAGGGAACCTTTACTGAAAACCAATGGCATCACATTTCAGCCGAGCTGGTGCCAAGTGCTGGGGAGCAGAGCAACCTTTGACAACTTCACACAATTCAACCCAGCAGACTTAGCACAGGTCAGGGGGGAGCATGACCGGTGCTTCCCCACCCGGGGGGTAGTTTAGGGCAGTGCCTAGAAACCAAACACTGTGGCAGGCTGGGCTTGGGCAACAGCGTAAGGATTCCCTGGACTCAGCCGGCTCTGCTGCCCTGACCCACTGCATACCATATTTTAACAGAATTTTTTAAAAAATGGATCCAAACCTTTAAAATGTATTTCCCTCTGTTTCTACATAAACCTGCATATTTAAGGCTCTTCTGGTATTCCTCAGAAATTTAAATAGGAAAATAATATAGTATTGGGAAAGTGGTCACATATTCTGTATTCTGCCTCCTATTGTAGAGACTGGAGATTTGATTTTGAACCCACTGCTGTAACGAGGCCATGGGCGTAGTAAGGGTGGACAAACAATGACAAGTATGGAACACGCTGGTCAGAGTGGGCTTTCTTTCTTCCTCATCTCCCTTAGCAGGGAAGAGAGTGAAAATTGTACGCCTCACCAGATCTAGGAGTGCAAGTGCAGAGAGAGTGAGAGACAGAGAAAGAAGGAGGCATGGCGGGGAAGGCTGCTGGTAGCTATACCAAAGCCAACCCCAGGCATTGGTTAACCACTTCATTGTCTGCAAGTTCTTCCCTGCTCTTCGTTTCTCTTCTGTGCCTATGACAAGTCCAGGTTATGGCATATTCTATGGTATTTCCTCACTATTGTGCATCTTACTTCAAAGGGCAGAAATCAGAACTGACAGCTTCACAAAAGGCCATGTCAAATGCGTCAGGAAGCTCAGGGAAGGGCTCCCCAACCTCTCTGAACCTGGCCCTCAAGCTGCCTGGACAGCTGGTAAACTATCCAAGGTCTCTGCTTGCCATGTTTGCCACACTATTGTTCAGGAGAAATGATGATTCCCTTACTTCTGAGAGCCCACACCAGATAATGAATGGAGTCCAAGTGTGGGTGCTGGAAGGATTTAACTTCCTATCCTGACTCTACCACTTTCCGTGTGCATGAGGTTGAGAGTGGCTTCAAATCGCTCTTCTGTTTCCTCACCTGTGAAATGGAGACCATATCCCTACCACACAAGACTCTCCGTGAAGACTTAAATATAACCTGCTATATAGGGCTTACCACAGTACCTGGCATGCTCATATTTACAAGCATTTGCTAAGCCTCTTCTCTGAGCCAGGCATAGCACCAGATACTGGGGACACAAAGACACTGAAGACACAATCCTCAAAAACAGCTGCCCAAGAGTGCATTCTTCCCTACCTCCCACCTCCCAGGGTTTGTGTGGTCTCCATCATAAAGCATAAAACCACTTTCAAGTGAACCAACTTATTCAGTCCTTGCAACAAATCTTATGAGCTAGATAAAGCTATGCCCAGTTTAGAAAGAGGAAAACTATATATTCACAACTACTAAATTGCAACCTGAATGTCAACCCAAGGTCTCTGTTTCTGTCAAGTACTCTAAACTTGCATTTATTTATTTTCAGAGAAAGAGAGTTCTCATCTGCTGGTTTACTCCCCAAGTACCACAATGGCCATGCTGAGGCCAGGAGCCAAAGACTCAACCTAAGCCTCCCACAAGGGTGACAGGTACCCAACTACTTGAGCCATCACCTGCTGCCCGGAGGGCATTATCAGGAAGCTGTAAGTGGGAGCTTGAACCCAGGCACTCCGCTATGAAATGCAGGTGTCCCAAAACAGCATCTTAACCATGGCACCAAATGCCCTTCCCACTGTCAAGTTCTCTTGTCCATGGAGAGTTCATATTTTGCACAATTTTATATTCCACTATTATCCTGTTTCATGTGTATGTATTGTGCTTCCTTAGCAATCGTAGAAATCCTTTAAAGAGAAGGACGATACGTTAAAATTTAAATTTAATGTTCTCTAGCAAACCAAGTCTTATAGTAAATATGATGCAAATTCAATACATTTCCCTAAAATAAAAAGAAACTCAAGCTGGGTCAATTTTACTACCTACAATCAACCTCAAAGAAAGCTAGAAATCTCCAACAAACCACGGTTTGAAAGTTATTTGTGGCCTTTCCATGCTCATACTATCTATGTCCTCAATTATTTTCAAATACTACCTACATGCTAAAGTTCTTAACTTTAAATCCCCTAAGACTGATTTCCTCACTTTTTTAGAACGTATTGCATACAACAAGGACATAATGAATATTTGTAAGATTGATTCAACGTTTACTTTTAAATTCAAACTTGATGCCAAGATACCTCTTTAACTTCTAGATTCACTCCAGGTTCTAGGTTTAACAGATCACAAAGTGTAGTTCATTCAGTAGAGCAGAGCATACATCAATCTCAGGTCGACGCTAAGCAGATATGTTTTAGATCTGCTATCGATCTCTCTATACCATACAACCAGCCCAAAATTCTTGAATAATGATTGACCCACTGCTTTGTTTTATGGTTTGAAATGCAGTCTATTTCTGATGGAGAAATTGGTTTGACATTTAACAGTAAATCATACATAAGACATCCTCAAAAGAGATCTGTATAGTATCTAGAATGTGGAATTCAGTTGATGAATTGCATTCATTAGTTTTGATGTTATACATTGGAAATCTCCTTTTAATGGATTTTATATCATTATTTGTAGGTATTTGCTCCAAACAATGATTTCTTCAGACTTCACAACATTTCAGGGAATTTAGATAAATATCAATGGCAATGTCATGGCAAAAAAAGGCAAATGACAGCCAATGTTTGAGGCAAAGAAAACAATTACTTAATACATTGCCTTTGCTTCCAGTGTCATCCACTTGTTTGTTTAGACAACTGGGGCCATCCCTAAGGAAAGTAAATATGCTCCCCAAGTACTGGCAGTGGGTGCTTCAGAATGATCGGGCTCCTGAACATCCACACTCAACAGTCCTGCTGCATACTATGCCTGTTTCCTCCAGAAATAAAGTAACATGATACCCAAGAGTTGCACTCAATGCTCCAACCATCTTGAGAAGCAGATGCTTTTATTTATTAATATTTTTACAAACGAAAAAAGTTCGCAGAATTAAATAACTTCTAAAAATCGTAGAGGCACTCAGCAGCCTAGCAGACATTTTGAAATGAGAACTCAAACTCTGATTGCAAAGCTTTTCACAAGACACACTGTAGCTTCCCTTCAGCAAAATTACACACATTAATTTCTCCACCGCTCAGTTAAGTGCAAACAGGACTACTCTCTCTCTTTCCCTCTCCATGTCTCTGCCTATCTCTGTCTCTCTGTCTCTTCTGTCTCTCTCACACACACACCACCCTCCAAATTTTCTTTCACATTTTTTTTTAATTTGAAAGCCGGAATATGAGAGAGAGAGAGAGAGAGAGAGAGAGAGAAATTGCTTGCTTATTCACTCCCTTAATGGTTGCAGCTGCCAGGGCCGGGTCAGGAGTCTCCTGTGTGGATAGCAGGGCCCCAAACACCTGGGCATCTTCTGCTGCTTTTCTGAGGGCATTAGCAGGGAGCTGGATCACAAGTGGGGTAGCTGGCACACAACCTGGCACCTATACAGGATACCTGTGTGGCAGGCCACAGCTCTACCCACTATGTCACAATGCCAGCCCCTCTTCTTTCACATGTTGGCCAGTGGCTTCCGAGAGTAATTTTTTCTATGTTTGCTTTTACTCTCACTTTTCAAGGAATTTCAGTGTCAAAAACCAAATTTGATCCCAGGTGATAAACTTAGAAGTCATACTAATGTTTCACTATTTCAAGGGAAAGAAAACCATACAGTTTACAACCAGTCTGAAAATTCCTAGAGTTAAAAATCCCTTTTAGATACTCTGCAAGAGTTTCCATCTATCGTTTAAACTTCTAGTTAATGTGCATTCTCTGAAACACCAACCCTCCTGAGTCTCACTAAATGATAAACTATCATTCCATTTTACTGACTTCGTGTTATTTTATCACTTGTATCATAATAGAACTATTCTTTACATTTTGTTCATCACTGATAATGTAATATTTCACTCCAATAAGTAGCAATAAGCTTTTATGGGCTAGCCTGGGAAAGTAATCAGCACTTAAGATTGTTTTCTATGAGGAAAAAAAGTATATTTTGAATACCTAATGATTGATCTACAAAGGGAAAATTTTAGTGTAAACCTGCCTCTCTAAATTTCCTGAAACCTTCATTCCGTAACAATGACCCTGAGCTTACCTACAGCTTGCCAACCTAATACCACTAGTCATGGCATAAGGCCATCTTTAATAAAATAGTTTATAAAATAGAGCTAAATAGGAGTATGATTAATTGGGTGATTCATTATTAATCAATCACTTCACTCCATCACAGGAGCAAAGGAAGCCGGAGACCACTGAGTCAAATCCTTTCATTCTAGGAATGAAGAAAGAACAGCCCCCTTTTGTTTTCTGATGGAGCAGGCAACCCCAGCATATTATAGACTCTGCACCCTCTTGACTGACCTTTAGCTGAAGACCATCTTACCCATTAGCTATAAAGAGTAAATTGCTAACTTTAAAGGTAATTGGTCCAAAGGATCATCAGACATTATGTCCCAATTCTGCAACCTTAGGAAAATAAATGTTCATACTAAATAGAGAATGAATTTCTAATAACAGAATTAAACTGTTCATCTAAACAGCCAACTTTGGATTTCCCTCCGTACATAATAACTTGGAAAAATATATAGCCTGTGTTTACTATAGCACTATAGCTACAGTCTCTAAGAAGAGCTATAACTCGCTAACAATTTTCCTGATTTATGTTTGAAAACATACAGGGCATGAAATGATTTCTGCAACCTTACATTTTTCCTCAAGAACGCTGGTGAGTGGAGGATATATTCCAAAAGCACATGGGATTGCTTGTTGCATCTCCATTTTTAAAAATTAATATGTGATAAGCAACTACATGTGTGTCACCCAAAAAAAACCATTAGATTTTTTTCCCTATTAATGGGGAAAAGTAGAAAAAAAAAGGAAGAAAAGGAGAGAGTAAAGGACAGAAGAACTCTCTAAGAGAATCTATTTTCATGTATTAGATACTATAAAAAATGATTGTTTTAAGTAAGAAAGTGCAATAAACATTCTTCCAAATGTTAATGATGTAGAATGGAAAATGTATGATTATTAAATATAACCCACTATACAAATACTAGTTATTCTTGTTGCTATTTAAACTATATGGAAATCTACTTCACAATCTATATATGTGCTAATAAAAATGGGTATTTGTGAATATAAATTATAGTGGCCATAAAATCAGCCTTATTAATCTAATATATTTTAGATCAAGGCCACATTTAAATGGGCCACTCTGGTAACATCAATATCTGGAGACACGCTATCCTCCCATATGGGTATCGATTTGAGCAGGAATACAAAAAGTTTTACTGTGCTTCATATAACATTGAATTTGAAATCCTACATTTGAATCTCCAAAACAGTAAAAAAAATCATCAGTTATACATATTTGGCAAGTTAAAAAATAATTCATTTTTACAAGGGAAATAAAATAAGCTAATCCATTAATAGTTAGCATCCTTTGTCAAGTCCTGTGCAGGTTATGTGTTTGAGCCGATACGCCAATTGAAACTGCCATAGGTTTAATAAAGAAAGCATCTTTGGATCTCCAGGGTCATATATTTTATCACAGAGATTCTACCCATTCAGTTCCTTTTTTGTGGTAACAATGATCATGACCTTGTTTCAATGAACAAAGTATCCTTCATCACAAAATCATAAACAGAGGCCTGATTTAAAATTAGAAATGATTCTTCCTTACCACTCCAGATATTATTGAACATAATGTTAAAAATACACTGTTAACTATCCACATGGGACGGCCACATCTGAGGGAGTACAGTAGGCAGGAGGTAAGCCGAGGCGGCAGTGGTCTTGCACATTGCAAACCATTAGCGCTGAGTCAATGAACAGTATCTCAGGTCCTAGAGAATGCAAAGTCCCTACCCAAGTGACAAAGACACACAGAGCTGTAATATTATCACAAGAACATTTTTTTCTCAGTAATATATTATCAGAGATTTTTCTTAAAAAAAAAATTGAAAGGATTTTCCCATTCCTGGAACCTGAGGGTCTAGAACCACAAAGCCATGTCTGGATCCCAGATCTACTTATTTGTATTACTTTCTGCAATCATTTCCTAAGAGAAGACTCTAAAAGGCCATGACTCTTTTTCTGTCTGCATCACCACTAATTCCAATACAAAGTACTAGGATAAATTTGAGTAAAAATAGACTATGTCCTGTTCCAGAGAAAGAACCTTAAACTTCACTGCACCTCCCCTGCTCGCTAGCATAAGAGCGTGCGAGCACACAGCTCTTACTCACAATTTCTGGCTCAGATTCTCAAGGCCTGCTTTTGCAGATGGTGACACGAGCCTAAACTTGCAAAGCCCTGTCATTTCAGGGCTTTAACAATCAGACAACAAAGTGAGAAGAGAAAACTTTGTTCGCTCAACACACCCCAGCACTTTATCTTGCCTTGACAAGGATATTTAAGTGAATTCAAAAAATTACAATATTACAAACTTGCTCACCGGTGCTTCAAAAATAACAGATTCTATTGTTGATGGAGTGATTTTCAGTTGGTTTTCTTGGACCAGCAGCTCAACTGAAAGATTCACCAACTGCTCCTTGAAGAAAACCAAGATCTGCATTTAAATGGAGACAGAGTATTTCCAAACACACACTACCTGGAAGGCCTCTTACAGAAAACAACTCAAACTGTAGCAGGTGTATTTTCATGCTGTAGCTGTCCCCATTTCATAGGGCTCTGGCTACCGCCCTAACAGTCTTTCTCCTGTGAGCGTTCATTATATTTGTCCTGAGAGGTCAAAATTAAACCTTGCTCCATCGCAAAGTCCTCCTACTAACAACAAGCAATTACTACTGGACATATCATTTCTGATGTGTGCAGAAAAAGACTACAGAATACAGCTCAGCCAGAAACGTTAAATAATTGAAAAGTATAATGACTTAATAGAGTAGTAAGCTTAGTTTACAATGCAGCCAATTTAAAGCCATAAAAATACCGTGTAAAAATTTTATCTTGTGGTTGACCATTACATATCCTATCTATTATTCAAAAGTATCTCAACAGTGTTTTTCTTCATTAATGTGGCTTTTGGCATTTCCCTCAAAATCTTTGTAGACCCACAGTTTCCCAACAATTTTGAAACAAAATGCAAAACTTCTGTATTATATCATACACTGCCTTCCCTAGCATGATAAGATCTTCAATGTCTGATTGAAGCCAGTTTCATAGGTCAGTCTGCGAGACACACCTGAACCTCCTTGCATAGACTTGGTTTTGCATTTAACACAACCAAGCAGACAAGACATAAAAAAATAAAAAGGCTAGAGCTACTTGTATTGACACATCTGTAAACAAAGAAGAACCTCATAAATAACCCCCTTTCCTGTGACATACTAATCCAGGGATTTGTTTGTATCAGAAAATGTCATGGAGCATCAAAAGTTTCGCCTTGAATGTTCGGCTAAGGTGCACAGCGTGTCTGCAGAGAACTGCAACTGAAATGTCCCGGTTAGCAAGGCTGCTGAGAACAGCAGCAGCACTTTGGGCTACCTCCTCTTGCTGCACTGCCAGTCTCACACTGATTCAAATTCTGAACTCAAAATGAAAGATGAAATATCTTGAAGATTACTTAGTATTGAAATACTGTTGCAGTAATAAGTGGTGCTCAGTTGGAGTTGGGAACATGGTACTCTCTTGGTAACCTTTTAATTTCTGGAAAAATTGCACAGAATAAATTGAGCAGCACACAAGGAAACCTAATCGATTGATCTGTTCTATTTTGTTCAAGAGCCACCCATCAGAACCTCCCTTTGCCCCCCACCCCCACCCCGCCCCAGGCAATTCCCATTCAAGAAGCCCTGCTGGACAGGATCTGGTACAGACCACTGCAAGAAGGCAACAGTGCAACTTGGGTTTAGTAAAGCAAAGCCAGGCTCCTTCATTTGCATTCATCACCCAGTCAATGGACAGTTTTCCGTGCTATCTGATACTGCTCTCAATACACACTTTTAATTCTATGTAATTTGAATCTGAAGAGTGATGAGAACTGCTTTAGTAAAAATAACAAAGCCATGCATAACAGAAAAGTCTGTTTAAAAAATCCTGGGGCCTGCTTCCTCCTGTACCTCATTCTTTCCGCAGCTGGAGGAAAAGACACCTCCTCCACTTGTCACTTGTCTCCACCAGTATTTCCCAGAGCTCTCTCTGTCAGCCATCCCTCAGCCCAGATCTGAGAACTGTTCAAATTTCCCTCTCTTTCCCACAGTGACAGAACTGGTTCTCAGGTTGGTTCACTCGTTTTTGACAACGTCAAATCTACTGGACAGGGCTGGAAGAGAGAGGTCCCTGAGACCACTGCCAAGGCCATTCCCTCGCCTTCTCTGAGATATTTCCGCCTCTTTGCTCTTGCCTGCTGCTTCTGAATTTGGGCATTTTCCAAACACACTCCCCTATTTGGTCTTTGGGCAGCGTGAGAAACAAACAGAGTTTCTCTTCAGTCACTCAGCAGTTCTGAAACACACTTCACAACATCCGCCGGCCTCTTGATCTTGACTTAAAGTATTAACAGGAGTGTTTCTGAAAGTGGTGGGAGGTCATACGTGTGCCTAACAGCTTCTCTTAACCCACATGCTGAGAATTTCTGTCTTTCTTCTTCAGCTTTTTTTTTCCTTTTGGAGAGAGAGAGAGAGAGAGAGAGGGAGAGGGAGAGGGAGGAGGGAGAGAGAGCGAGCGAGCTATTTTCAACATAACCCTCTGGTTTATGTTAGCAGAGATCATCTGCTTCCTGCGTGTGTCTGTGTGTGCCTGCACGGCCACCAGTTCTGGTACTACAACACAAACACAGCCAGCGTGCATAAGCAGACCCATGTGGCAACTCACAACACAGCATACCCGAAAACAAGCACAATAAATACACGGATCCATAATCATTCCACAGCACTGAGGCATGCGGGGGTTTCTCCAGGCCCTTCCGGACTCTTCCAGAATTGCTCATTAAGATTCTGCAAGGCCAGGGGAGGGGGTGCAGCTAGGAAAAGGTTGCCAGAAGGAAGACGAGGGGAGGAGGGGAGCTGTGCCCTCTGTCCTCCTCCCTCTCTGGAAATCTCCCATCCCCAAATATGGGGGTGGGGGACCCCATCCTTCAGCCCCCTCTGACAGACTTGAGGACGACAAGGGGGCGCATGGTTTGGAATGCTTCAACGGCGGCCCGGTGACCTCCGTGCAACTTCGGCGACTCCCTGAGGAAGGTGAAAGGGTTGGGGAGACCGGAGGGCGAGAGGCGTAGAGGACAGGACAGAGACACCTAGGACGGCCGCAGCAGCAATCCCCAGAAGGATTTTCCAGCCCCTGCCAGCAGTCCTCGACTCCCGGGCACCACCCTCCCCAGCGCCCCCTGCCCCAGTCCCCCTCGCCCCTCAGCCCTCCCAGGGCCGGTGCCCTAACTCTGCCCTCACTCTTTGCGACTTTCCCAACACTGAAGTCTCCCTCCGGGAGGGGGAGGGGAGGGGTGTTTCAGGAACAAATCTAATTGCTATTAGGATTTATCTGTGTCTAGTCTGCAAGAGGAGAGCGCTACTTAGGGTTGTGTTATGGAGGGAGGGGCTGCTTTTTTTTTCTTCTTTTCTTTTCAAGAGACTCTAAGCAAGTGCAGGGGGAAGGGGGCAGCAATAGACATTTCAACCAGGACTGCAAATAAAGAATGCCCCAGATGCAAATGTCTGTCTCCAGATGTTGATGATAAGGATTTGGAGCAGTTACCTTGGCAGGGTCAGAACTGCAGCAGGTTAATCAGGTGAGTCGTCGGGGATTTTAAAGAAGCCGAAGCCGGTTTCTTTGGCTATGAAAGTCTACAAAACCCCCATGCAGGAACATTGCACATCTTACACACGCCTCCTTTAACTGGGCTCCCGCGACCTCAGCAGGCGAGGGGGTGCTGGCCGGCGCGC